CAACTCGGATGTAAAAGACCAGCAGCCGCATTAATGTCAACGAGCCACTTCAATTTCCGATTTTAATGACTCTGCCAATCGGCGGGCCTTCCGAAGCAAAAAAAAAAAAAGTACAAAAATTCTGGTCAGAAGAAAACAACGCCCTAAAACGGTGAAAATCCAACGAAACAAAATTCCAACAGCTATGGTGGCAGGCGAAAAACCATTTTCCAATAATCTAAATTTAGATGAAATGAAACACATTTCAAATTTTCATGAAAAATGTCGGACGGGAGTGAAAGAGAAAAATTTCTGTATCCGAGAAATGCCGAGAAACACATTCGGCAAACTATATATACACGGTTTCTCTACTTATATATGTATAAATATATATATATAGATACATATATCGGCCATATAAACATTCACGTTGCGGGTGTACGTAATTTGATTTTGGTCTGCTCTTTTCTGGCTTTTATCTCGCAGGTTTCTCGATGCACAAGATACAAACTTGGATGCGTATCTGACAGATATATGTATACACCTTGGGCTGCAGTAACAGCCGAGCACAGTTTCTATAATTATAACGCCCAGGTGTGGGCCCCACCGAATTTGAAAACAAAAACTAGGAATTTATCATATCAAGGGGCTTTATTTGATGACTGTTTGCCGTCCTCTGGCCCAGGTAAACAAACGTCATGCGGAAGATGTGATATCTGCGAGACCAAAATGATATCTCCGAGTGCGATTATAGTACGTGCAGTTATGCTTGGTCGCCGGGTAATCCGAGACCCGAGATCGGAGATCGGAGAGCCTCTTGACGTCGCGACGTCGTTTTTTTTCAATTCACACAGTCTAGGCACACTTCAACTGTGCAAAATGCGACGACTATGAATAGCGGAGAGCCGAACAGCAAAAGCAGCAGCAGCAGCAGATACAGATACGGCTGAGATACAGATACAGATTCGGGCGAAGAAACGTGCTCCAGCGGCGTGTGTCATAAAGCTATAGCCACATATCTAACAGATACAATATACAATGCGAGTGCCTGCTTTTGCTGGCGGCCAAAACTCATTCTTCTTTTTGTTTTTGGCTTGGGGCGTGAGTCAGATCCAAAAAGCAAACAACACACTCGTCAAAATAACAACAAAAATTTATGTCAGCAGTGCCAAAAGCGACGAACGAATGAAGACGATAAAAAAGGCGGCAAATAAACAGAAGGAATAGTACGAACAAATACATATAAATTTACAGTGTGTTTCGTTAGTAAAAGCATATCGATTGACTCCAGTTCAAAGAGAAGACAAGAAATAAAAAACATATTAAAAGGATACAAAGTCTAAATTATGATCTAATACCTAATAAAATCGAACAATTAAATAATTACTGTTTCAGATAAATCCGGGTACAAAATGTAGACCTTCAAAGCAATTGAAATAAATTAGAGCTACATCTTATAAATCTTCAATTATTTTTATGATGAGTGGTGTATTCTAATTTGTTTGCTTTTCAGGAAGGAATTAAATCTAGAAATCCAGAAAAAAATGCAAATTTTTAATTGGCAAAAATATTTATGCATCGCACACATATTTTAGGCAAATGGCTGTTGTCTAATTTGTGACCAACTCATTGAAAATTTAAATAAAAAACGTGTTAATTCTATTAAATTTTTGCATCTTTTTGCCTTGCTTGCACTGCCTTACAGCTGTGAAACGCACAGTAAATACATAGATATTTCCACACAGACAGCTATTCAAATGTAATCGCAAGCTGTGCATTTCAAGTGAACGGGCGAGCACCCAACAGGTAGCCAACTGATGATTGCGAGCAGAACCCCAAGCCCAAAACCCGAAGCAAACATTGCTGCACACCCGCAATAATAAAAATAAAAAGAAGAAAAAATAGGTATATAAAAAAAGCACAACACCAACCGCAACCTCAAAAAGCGGCTATTGCTGATGTTAGTGTTGCTTGAGGTAAGGCAGGAACCTAATTAGATCTCTCGCAATATCTCCGACAGACACAAAGTATATGCAGGTATATTTCAAAAATATTTTAAGCTACTTAACATTATTTTCTGTTCAGTAACAAACACATTAACAGTCAGCAAATTGCTTGAATGTTCTCGCAAAGATAAATTGACAATTTGATTGGGATCGATTTTATTTGATTTGATTTCGTACACACACAAAATAAATAAATATGCGTCGTTGTTTCAAAATCCCCCTCCAAGACAAATTATACAAAAGTTTAAAACATTTTAATTACGCTTAAAACTAATAAATTTTGTAAGCTGAGCTGGGAATTAAATCATGATTTAATTAATACATTAAAATGACAGGAATGAATGAAGTGGAATATAAAATTCAAGTCGAAACAATACTGATAATACATTTTGTACCCTCTGGGAAAAAGGGTAAAACATAAACTCTTTTTGTGTTGCCCGAACGACCGCATGTGAATGTTGAGTTTTTGGATTTGGCCCGCATGTCAAGCTAACGAAAACAAAAACACAACCCAGCAACGACGACGACAGCAATTGAAAAGAGAAAGTTGCAAAATGTGAAAAAACACAAAAACTTCTAGCAAGTTGAAAAGTTGGGATATAGCCACTATAGTGGACGGCGGTCGCTCCGAGTTCCCAAGTCCCAAGTGCCAGGTCCCACATCCCAAATCCAGTCCGACACCCTCCCACTAAGCTGATAAGCCAACGAGGTGGGTTCGAAATCTCTGGTTTCGGTTTATTTCGTATATATTTTTCTCTTCCTCGGATTTTTGAGTCTGGTGGAACGAGTTTTACAAATTGTCAACGCTTTGCTTTTAGCAAACACAATTTGTAGACAGGCAAACTAGTTTGCAGCTATGCCAGAAACGAAACCAAAACAAGAATAAATGCCTTTGGGCGAGTTTTCCGACTATACGATACCTGGTAATCAATAATCTGATCGGTGCAGATAGGGCCACACAGTGTTCTTGGATATTTTCTTAATGAGGAAGAGATTAAGATCTTGCATCTTATTATTATGATTATTTGCAATGACAAATCTGGAGATTGAGAGTCGTAATTAAAAGTAGATTAAATTCCAACTTCTTAGTGATAAAATTACATTTAAATTTGTCAGCCATATGATCTCAGAATCTTATAAATTGGGATTAAAGACTTTTATTAAGTTTCCAGGTCTTAAATTTAATTTTTTGCAACTAAATGCACTTAAAATACCCTGTCTATCTAGCGGTACCTAGCAATCCGCAAATACCGCACCACGAATATCCGAATCTGTGGGTCTGTGCAACATAATTTTGTCATTACGAGGCGACACACACACCCTCGTGGCCGGCCTGCATATGGGCAACAGATGTTGGGCAAATACAGAAATGAGAGCTGCGATACACGATATACAAGATACGAGATGCGACCAGGTAGTGCCACGCCCCCGCCTCTTTCCCGCCCCGAAAGTTGACTTTTGTTGGTTTGTCTTTAAGAGTGTTTGCTTGGTTTTCTTATATTTTCTTATATTTTTTTTGTGATTTTTGGGTTTTGAACCGGGGCGTGGGCAGCGGCGGTAATTCATGCATCTTTCAGAAAGGTTTGCTACAGTTTTAGTGCACAGAGAAAAAAGAGCTGCATATCTGTTCGAGATAAGACGGTTTCAGAATCAGGTTTTAGTTAAATTTTTAATTTATAATACTATAAAGATATACAATTTACATTTAGAAAATTTAAAAAATTTAACTTATGCAACCTAACAAAAAATAGATGTAAAATCACATCATATCATATCAATTTTTCTTTCTATGTGGGGGTTTCCCCCCTGGGGTTTTGGATCTCCCTCTCCTCCTCTCAAAATCTCCGCCGCCCTTCGTTTTTGTGTACGAATGGCCGAGTCAACAAAGAATTCATAATAAGAACAACAAAGGCTGCACAGGGCAGTCAAGTGTGGGGCCAAAAACACAAAAGGAGAGAGCGCGAAGAGAGTGTAAGTAGTGTGCGCTCGCGAAGAGGCGCACAAAAAGGAAGTAACTAAAAATAACAAACATCTCGTTTGGGTTTGTAAGGTGGAATGAACTCAGAACCGAAACCGCGATGGAGAAGAGGCCGAAAAGGAGACGACGAGGAGACAAACCAGACACGCCGAGATCCATGCCCCAAAACCGATTAAATTACAGTGATCACTCCGTTAAAGATTTCCAAGGACTTTTACTTGCGAGAGCTTTCGAATGAAATCACTGCCTAAATTTAACATCTTCACTCATAAAGTATTTGTGTTGTTCTAAATACCTGAAATCTTTGTAATAAATCTTGCCAGATTCTAGGAATCAAAAAGCTTTACAAATATTTTTCTAACAATAAAAAATGTATTGATCAAAAAGGAATAATTGCAATGTACTTTTTCCGATTTCCTTGGAAATAAATTTGTATATACTGCAATTCAGAAATATTCTTGTAAATGTACTGTGCAATCACTTTTTACATGGATTTTTTCTAAGATTCCAGGAATAAAGATGTTTACACTAGTTTATTATTGACGATTTGCTGTAAATCTATTTGATAATTTTAATTTTTGATACAGACTTTTCTGTTTATATTTTATGAAATGAACCAATTTCAAAATATAAATTTAATTTGTTTTTCATTTATATATTTATATAAAACGTGATTTCTATTCGTGAAATAGAAATCTCTTTGATCATTTTTATTTCAACAACTTGTGTAATTCAAAAGTCAGTTAGCTCATATTTAACTTTATAAAAAACTTTAGAAATTTATATTAGAGATCTCTCGTTATAACTATTATAGAAGATTCCGTAGTAGAAATGACTTTAAAAATCTTAACGATTTCTCGTTAAATTACCCATACTCTTTTCTCAATAAAAAACAGATTTCTTTGATGTAGCAGTGGGACTTTCCCTAGGTCTTAGATCTCTTATTGATGAAGTCACCGATGAAAATGACAAAATGAACCCCAGAATCGGATCTTTGGAGGATCTCGGGGGTTCCTTCGGCATTTTCGCCTGCTTACCTTCGTCCAGGAGTCGTTCGACGTGGGTGAAGACGTTGGGGAAGGCGGCCAGCTGCTTGCGGTCCTTGAGCAACTGGGCCAGATAGTCGGCGATGCTCTGTGTGCTCTGCTGCTGCTGCTGCGGGGTCAGATGCTGGGGGGTCATGGGGACCACCACCTGAGGAGCCTGCTGCTGCTGCTGCGCTTGCTGCTGCGCCTGAGCCTGAGCCTGGGCCTGGGCCTGCTGTTGCTGCGCCACCGCAACAACTGCGGCGGCTGCCTGTTGCTGCAAGTGCTGCTGCAGTTGCTGTTGCACAACGGCTTTGCTCTCACAGACACTCATTTTTGATGTTGTGCGTGTGTTTGTGTGTGGTTTTTGGGGGACTTTTTGTTTTTGTTCTCGACGAGATTCTGGTTTGCAACTTTCAACTTTCTTTGGGTCTCTGCTTTCTTTACTTATTGCACACTTTTGTTTTTTCTATTTTATAGCTGCTTTTAACACGTTACTGTGGGAGTTGGGAAATTCATTAAGTTTCGTACGCGAGAGATATTGAAAACGGAAAACGAAATGAAAACAACTCCGCCCAAAAGTATTTTTTACGATCTGCAGCAACAACAACGCAGCGCGAGAGGAGAAACTGAGAGAGCGAGAGCGCGCAAGTCGAAAGCGAAGACTGAAAATTCGAATTCCTCGGCGATCTCTCACTCACACACGGACAATGAACAGTAAAACTGTATAAGCGACGGAGATGAATGAAAGCAGAATGTCAAAATAGCTGCCTCTCCCTCGCTCTCGATCGTTTGGCTGCTGCAACAGCAAATACAACAAAAAAATGTTTAAATATTTGTTATATGCAAATTAATGTTCTTGTTTCCAGTGGTTTTGGGCCGGAAAAGGATAAGTTCCTTTGCCTGGACATTCACCGAGAGGACAAAACCACGGAAACAAGCTTGAAACGCTGAAAATTTCGCAGAAATATGCACAGTTGCTGATTATGTATTTGTTGTTGCTGCTGAACGGCTTTTGGCTTTTATTCTTCGTTTCGTTTTGCTCGGAAAGTTTTTGGTTTTCGAAACACACTTCTCTGAGGATTCCTTCGCTTTGTTTATTGATATATGTGTATGTTGGTTTTATTCGAGTCGGGGAATAGATCTCGGGACTTTACTGAACGATTCCTATTTTTCCTAAAAGTGAACCGTGCGCGAAGAAGGAGAAAAAGAAACTGAGAAACTGAATGCGAGGCGAAGAGCGCGAAACGTTGTAAGTGTGAGATCATGGCAGTGCGATCGCGGGGTGGTTCTCGCAGCGCGCGCTCTCCTCTCTGCTCTCTCGCCGCGTGACGTCACAAAGTCTGTCAGGCCCTAATAAAATATTTTAAATAAATAAGTTAGGATTAACAATCAGTTGAATGTATTAAACTATATTTATTATACCAGAGATTTATAATTTTTAGTGCAAAAGTTACACTTTTAATCGCAACAAATTACATTGATATGTTGAAAATTACATCACATTTTACAAAAAATATTTCTTAAAAAATCCAAATTACCTCTACAAGGCTATTCAAATTAATGTTAATAGTTACCCTAATAAAAATGTTTATACCAACGAAATTCATACATTTCTCCATACAAAACACAAACTTTTTATGCTTTGTGACGTCACTCTCTTTGCGGCTTGGCTCTCTCGCCACCATGCGAGATCACTCATCAGCGTTGCCACCCAGCACAAAAAGAGTTGCGCAGCTGGTTAACTTATTGCACATATTTTGACCTAAAATGTGAATATTCAAGTTGATAAATGGACAAACATGACCAAAACCGCTAAAAACAAAAGTGGGTGATTAATTTCCGGGCCTAAAATGCTTGATTATTTCAATAACCACTAAGTCGCAGCGTTGCCACCTAGTTCCTGTGTGGGGCACCATTTGGCGCGTTGGCGTTGAATTTGAATTAATTAAGACAGCCAGCAGTGAAGGCATTAATTGCGCACGGAAATTGCTGGCAGATTAGAACCAAGCGGCATTTTGTTTTGCTGGACATATATGCGGGGGCTATCATCTGGGCCCAAGCCCCAAAACACCATGCAAATGAGCCCCAAACCCGAACTGGCCAAATGTTGGTGTTAACTTGGTTAACTCCGTCGCGAAATGTATGTGGGAAAATTGAAATTCGCGAGCGTTTCGATGGACGCACCATATAAGCGACCCTAGGCCAGCGACAACTTTTACTTTCCATTACTTTTCGCTGGCTTCCGCGTATTTGGCGTATCTTACATTAACACCGCACGGGAAAAAGATTTTTTTAGTTAAAAGGGATTTTTTTAAACTTAAAACTGGCACTTTCGATGAAATAATAATTGGAAAAAAATTCAAATAGGTCTGAAAATATATTTTAATAATAATAAATTTATAGGTGTTGTTCATAGGTACAGAATTTTAAATTTTTTAAATATCAAAAATGGTGAAAATCTCTGATAAAAATTTATGAAAATTCAAAGAATAACTTGTACTAAGAGGTTATTTTAGGTCTTTCAAAACGTTATTCCAATACTTTTTGGGAATTTAAAGGCATATTTTTGATAAGGTTTTATTTAATATTCGTCTGGGTATTAAAAATAAAGACCAAATTTAACGATAGTAATTCGCAGTGCAGCAGCTCACCCGCATGCACTTAAATGAGACGTGAAAGTTTGGAGTGGAGGAAGACTTGGATGGGCATTGGATTGGCCGTTCCATTGGAAAGCAGGCGCCCACCACCGGACCTCACCTTACCAAGTTTCACAGCCTGGCCACAAGTCCCAGTCCCACCAAATTCGTGTGCACTTGGCTCACACCGATCGTATTGGATCGGAACGTATTGGTCGGTGTGTGGGCCGACATTATATTATACGGCCCCATTATACAGTTTTACTGCCATTGAAATATGTGTCAATGTGCGTGGCGATTGAGACATTGTATGCTTATGGATTTCCGATTCAAATCTCTGGGGCAGAGACCAAAGCCCTTTCCAATCCGAATCCGCACACCCACGTCGCCCCGAGTATTTCTCTTTGGACATCTGGCAGATCCAAAGTGCCAAGTTTTCCGTGGGCCGTTAATCTCTCCAGGGCTTTGGAATTTTCCTTTTTTCGGTCTTGGTCGTATGTTGTGTTTTGCTTTGTATGTAGGTCGTTTTAGGTAGCTCTTTTGGGTTTCGAAAACCGAAATCGCCGCAAAACAAAAGTTTTCTAGCAGCTGTAAAGTGCTGTGCGGAAAATGCTTCAAATGGCGGGACAGTGGTCTTAATTCAAACTGCCAAGTCGTAAAATATGAAGGTGATAAGAGAAATTTTCGTTTACTCCATCCAAATTAAGTTGTTAGTAGATAAACTTTTATTTTTCGTGAAAAGTATTATTCGGCTATTTAATACTTATTTAGATTTAATTAATAAATTAAAATAAAATTTAAATAAATATTTTCCAACGTCGCAATGTTTTGTATTTTGTCGCCGCCTTCAAGAGAAATAAGTTATTAGTCCTTATTTGGCCATGGACAGAAAAATATTGCATCTCAAATGCACTTCAATTGTTCGATCTGCTTATAAGGAGGTGGTTCCACCGATTGACAAACCGCCTGTCGGAGTTAACACTCTTTGTTGGCCGGGAATCCTTTTTTGACCACTGCACGCTCGGGTCAAATGCAAATTTGGCCAAGACATTTAACGGCTTTGAGCTTTGAAAACGACGAATTAAACATTCTTTTTCTTAATTTACCGCCGACACAGAAATAAGAGTGTGTAATTAGCAATATGTTGGCCAAAAAGCCAGGCAGTCGGCCATTAACCAGTTTGCAGTTGTTTCCATTACGCATGACACGCGGCCATGTGGGCGCCTCCGGTTTTCCAACTTTTGTGGCTTTCAGTCTTTGAGGTCCACAAAAGAAACCGAGCTGCATCACCCACACAGACAGTGAGTATCTGTCAGATACACTCGCTCACATGTGCAGGCCGATCAGCCAACGAAGGTGTCCAAAGAGGTTTGCTTTTGACCACAAATAAGAGTGGTTTTTACCTGATTTTTGTAGCTATTAAAAAAAATGTTTATTAATAGAACCCTTGCATTTTGAAATACCTATGTATAAAAAAGTTCTAAGCAATTTAATGATAATAATAATTAATTATCAAAACACTACTTTTCAAATCTTATTCTTGTAGTAAATAAAATACAAAGTTTTTAAGGAACCCTTGCAGAAGACTTTAAATTTTTTGAAATATGTATAAACAAAGTACGTAATAATTAAAAAAAATTAATAATTAATTATCAAAACCCCTAAAAACCTAAAAGATTTACGGGATCGGCCCAACATTTCATAAATCAATGTGTTTAAACTTTAAAGATACAACCGTAAATATTAATACAAATATGATCTATTATTAAACCTTCTTTAAATAAACCCCAAAATTTGAAAAAACAAACCCCAACTTTTGAAGGCACTTTTCGAGCCACTTTTGTCGCCTGTGCGAATGCATTTTCTGTGTCACACGCTGCGTCCCACAGGTGGAACTGTCGTTTTCCTCAGCCATTCATAAAGTTTCCACTTTGCCTATTGTGCTCGACCAGCTGATTGGATCCAACAAGCCGCAGACTAGGCAAAACTAATCTAACCACGATCCGCAAAGTGCGCATGAATGAGTAAACTCAGGCGCGTTGGCTTTTTCATTCACAGAAACGTCGTTAGCCAGGCTTTTAGAAACAAGTGTTAATGGAGGGGGAAGGGGGCGAGTGATGTGTGTGTGGGCGTATGGCATTGCGGTCTTCAACATTCGTCACGCCCACGCCCCCAACAACATCTAATTTGCTGATACATTTCGATGGCTGCCGAGCGCTGCGCACTACAGTCTAAAGTCTATAGCTCAAAAATGGTTCAGTATAAAATTAAGAAAAATGGGAAGTAGTTTCGTTGGAACTAAAATTATCAACAAATTAACAGAAAAAATAGGAGGCCATTTTACAAATAACATATCATAACTCTATAGATAAACTACACTAACTAATAACTACATTTTCTAGAAGTTTTCTATTAATTTATGAACAAGTTAATATATTTATAAAAAAATTTACAAAAATTATCCCAATAATTTAGAACTATATGTTTTCATTAAACCTTTACCTTTAATCCCATTTATAGATTCAGTAACCTTCAATGGAAATACTCTTAATACAAAGTGGCCTGCAATTTCTTAACCATATTTCGGTTATGTGGGTGATGGAATCTGTAAAAAGGGGGCGAGCTAAACGAGTTTTATTGGAAAATTGATCGCTGCCCAATGCTGTTTCAATTGGCAAATGCATGGGCAGTGGGCGCCCGTAAGTCAGCAATTGATTAAGCGCCCGATTATCGATTAGTTGGGCCAACAGCAGCGCGTCGCCACAGTTTTGGAGCAACTGGGCGAGCGTGGGCACAATTTAGCGGGCGAAACACGAAATAAAAAAGCGCGATCGCCCAAATTTGGGGAGGCAACTCAAATCGACGCGACGGCGACAACAATAAACATTTGAAACAAACAAGCCACAAATAAGGAGAAGCCGCATCCGCATCGAGAGATCGAGTGGGATGCGAGTGGCTCATGATGATGATGCCCGGCCAAATGGTTACGTGAACTCGTGAAATGGAAACATTTAGTTTTATATCTTTTGCCTATATGTATACACAATGAAGTAAAGAAGCAGATTTACAATATGCAATGGTATCTCCGCCTAAATCTAAAAACTAACGCGTAAACTTCTTGGCCTGGTCGCGGTTGACCTGCTTGAAGTGCCGCTGCTTGGAGGCGGATCCCTCGTTCATCTGCTTGTAGTATCCGAATCCGCCGCCGCCCACCCGCTTCTCGGGCCGCTCCCGCTTGGCCGCGCCCACCTTCAGGTCGACCACGGGCGGCACCAGGAAGCCAAAGCTCTTCGAGACCGCCTGCAGGTCCAGCGTGTTCACGTTGAAGATCTGCTTCAGCTGGTGCGAGTCGTAGGCCCGCACGTACGACTTGAACGCCTCCTTGGCCGACTGGTTGAGGAAGTAGTTCTTGGCTATCAGCTTCTCCAACTGCAATGGATAAGGAATGGATTGATTAGGATTTTGTTAGACAAGGTTGGTTCTTCAAAACCTATTTTTGGAGTAAGTTTTCCTTTTAAAACTTTCTTTCTTTCGGTATCTTCATCTTGTATAGTTTTTCTCAAACTTATTTCCATCGACTAATAATGTATTTTATAATGCTAATTTAAAATAAATTTAATTCAGGTCGTATACTTTATAATAATATATTTGTAAACAGATAGTTAAAAGCACTGTCTATTTTGTCTTACTTCTTAAGTCGAAAAAAACGATTTTTGGTTTAATGGTGCTGAAATGATCTTCGCATAATAATTACTATATTATAATCTATGATTTATAAAAAGTTCAGATTCCTATCTTGAATATTCAGAGCATGAATATGAAGATAGACTTAAAAACTTTGACTGCGTTCATCTCGAAAGCCTGGTTTTGTGTGTGATAATCTCACTCTTCTAGTACTTGAACAATATATATGTACATATTTTACAAAACAAGAACTGCTAAATTAAAACCTTCTCCCCTGATAGTTAGAAACACCCACCTGCAGTTGAATATCGGCTATCTTCTGCCAGGAGAACTCGAACTCATTCAGTGGCACCTTGGCGGCCTTAAGGTAGCGCAGGAAGCCCAGCTCCTCGGGTCGCATCAGGAGCAGTGCGTGGCCCGAGGTGCCCGATCCTCTGGCTGTTCGGCCCACCCTGTGAATGTACTCCTTGGGATCATCTGGAGGATCGTACTGCACGATCCAGTCCACCTGCGGAATGTCCAATCCACGTGCTGCCACATCCGTGCACAACAGGATGCCCGATTCGGCGTTGCAGAACTGGAAGAAGGTGGTCGTGCGCTTCGTCTGCTTCTGCTTGCCATGGATGGACGTCACGGGCAGGTCAATGTAGTTGAAGAGTTCGTGATGGTACTTGACGGACATGCAGGACGAGAAGAAGACCATCACCTTCTTCTTGCGATTCTTCTTGAGGAACGTGAAGAGGACGAGCAGCCGCTTCTCCGAGGGACACACGATGTAGCCCTGCTCGAGTCCATCGACCGTAGCCGTGTCCTGGTTATCGTGAACGCCCACATAGATGGGCTCCGACTTGAGGGCCAACTTGGAAAGGGCATCTATGCGAGCCGTCTGCGTGGCCGAGAAGAGCATGGTCTGTCGGCGTTCTAAAGAAGGATTATAATCACTATTGGTATAATTTTCTAGCTAGCTTTCACTCACTTGGCAGCAGATTGATGATTTGCTTGAGCTCCTCCTCGAAACCGATCTCAAGTATCCGATCCACCTCGTCGATAATCAGGCACTGCAGGTTCTTGTACAGAAAATCGGGCGAGTTCTGCAAATGATCCAGCAGACGACCCGGCGTGGCCACCAGAATGTTGATGCCCTTGCCCAGCTTCTCGCTCTCCACCTGGCGATTGGAGCCGCCCATCACCAGGCCATAGGTGTGGTGGTGGTGCGCCATCAGCTCCTTGAGCACGCCAAATGTCTGCATAGACAGCTCTCGCGTGGGTGAGATGATGATCACGCCGGTGCCGTTGCGGGGCATAAAGCGCAGCTTGTTAATCAGCTCGACGGCGGGAATCAGGAAGGCCAGCGTTTTGCCGGAACCCGTCTGTGCGGCGCCCACGAGATCGCGACCCTTTAGCAGGGGCGTTAGTGATTTCGCCTGGATTTCCGTCATATCCGTGAAGCCCATTTCCTTGACGGCACGCAGCGTGGCCTCGGAAACGGCTCCTTTTAGAGAGGCAAAGCTGCGATCATCCAAATCCCGGTAATCTAGCGCAGCCAGGGAGGATTCCACGGTAAAGGGCTCGTCGTCCTTCGCTGGTTTGCCATTCTGTGGCTTCGACTTGTTGGGCAGCAGCTTCGTTTTCTTGGCGGGCACAGGTTCGTCTTCAGCTTCCTCTGTAAAGGGTAATTGTTTGTTAATCAAGGTTTTTTTAAGACCATAATTCTATTGAATTTTTAGTGTCATTCAGTTGGTTTTAAATTGCATTTCATGCCTGCTCGCGACAGCATTAACTCGCTGATCTAGAGCTGCTCAAATTCGCCTTTAAAAATCATCATTATGTTGGGTATTTTGATGGGAATCAAAGAAAACTTTAAAACTATTTTATCAATCTATTTAAAAGATTTTTCATTCGTTTATTTTTAACTGATTGGAAGATTTAGGGCCGTTTTCTCGTTCGCATGTTGAACGTATGGGAATTCTCAGTTTAATGCTTACTTTAAATTTAAGATGCGGACAAGAAAACATTTCAAACTTTTGACTTACCAATATTTAATCGGTCTTAGGGCCTTTTTCTCGTTCGCCTGTTCTGGTTTCTCTGGTTTCCCATAAGGCTTAAACCCTACTTTAAATTTAACAAAGGGAAACGAGAAAACTACCCTTAGTTTGATTACTTTAAGCAATTTATAAAGCGCTTGTCTTATTTTTAAGATATTTTTTCAACAAAGGTAACTAAGAATTAAAATGCATGTAACCTTCAAGAAAACTTGATAAAATTATTAATAATACTTTCTCAGAAACTAGTTAATTAGATAAGGTCTGAAAATTAAAAGTGGTTTCCATTACTAACCATCTTCCTGCTCATCCTCTTCACTCCCGCTGGCTACATCCTCATCTTCGCTTTGATCCTCCACATCCTCTTCTTCCTCCTGATCATCATCCTCCTCCTCTTCATCTGAATCTGAATCCGAGTTGGCCACCTGAATTTGTTGCTTCTTTGGCGGCTGTTTCTGTTTTTTCTGCTTGGGCAGCGGCGCCTCCTGGAAATCCTCCTCCAAATCGTCGTCTGCAAGGTAAGAAATACATCTTTAATATTTTTATAACCCAAAATAATCCAATAATCCTACCCTCTTCCTCTACAGCACGTTTTTTACTTGGCTTCTGTGATTTTTTACTGGGTTTATTGCCATTTTGTTTGGTTGGCTCTTCCACTTGGGGCTGCTTTTTTCCCTTCTTTTGCGAGAGCTCCTTCTTCATCTTCTCCCGCTTCACGATCTTCTTCATCAGCAGCTTCTCCCGGATGGACATTATGCTATGTTAGTTGGCTTTTTAATACACTTTAATGGTTAAAAACAGAAATCGTCGAATAAAATAAACCGCGCACGTGTTGCAGCCCAAGAAATGACATTCACCCCGAAACGGCTGTTCTGAAATACCAAAGAAACTACGGTCTTACTCAAATGCCAGGTGTGTGTCACTGCTAGGTCACCATGATATAGAGCGTACACACACCTTTTTATTGATATTGGGGCCATCCCTAATTCTTTTTGTTTTGGTCACCTGTTTCGCAACACAAGAGGTGAATTTTGTATTTGAAATTTAAATTTTATGTTGAATTAAAATTTAAATTTAGACGGAATATCGCCCATCAGCTACTGCTAATGCTCTTCGATTATGAACTGAATGGGACTTATCCATCTACTCATTTACATCTTTTCTTTATAGAGAATTTTAAGAAAGTAGTTTTATCTGCTATTCCATTTTGTGGAATTACAAAAAATTTTTGAAAATCGGTTTTTATGGTTGATGTTTTAATATGAGTGCAAATAAAGTTTGTTTTTATTTCTATTTCTCTCCATTTATCGTTCCACTGTCGCGGGGGAATCACAACTTCTTATCATAAGGTAATCAGTATGTTTGTTTAATAGGAATCACCTTTTTTCAGGGTAAAATTTGGTTGAACTGCGAAACCAGTTTTAGAGTTTTATGAACATTTATTAAAAAATTAGATAAAATCAATTTTTATTACAAATGGCTTCTTGAAGTTGTACAATCAATCAATCTCCTTTATCTTTAAGGAATTTTGATTAACTATTAGCCGCAGACAATTGCAACAAAGGCACTTTTTGATACACTTTTTTGTTAGGCTTCCAGTCGCAAATCTTATCACAAATGGCAGGGGATTCACCCTTCCTTATCAAGCCAACATATAAATTGCAAACATAATAAAACATATCTTAACCTAGTGCGACATAATCTGCTCCACCTTCTTGCGCAGATCGTTGCGACCGCTCTCACCGAGGGCGCGACAGAGGCGCACGAGGAAGTGCTTGGGATCGTGGCAGTCGTCCTCCTCGATGAGCTGCAGCAGCTGCAGGATCTGCGAGGCCAGGTTGCGCGGATGGCGCTCCTCGATGTTGTCCATGGCGCCCTCGCCGATCCCAGCCGATCGGCCCAGGCGGCGCCAGGAGCGGCCCAGTTCCTCGGAGATCTTCTTGAACACAGCCGCCCGCTTGCGATCCGTGAAGGCAGCCGGAGTGGTGTAGTTCTGGACGGAGGGCGTGGATGCAGCCGCCACAGGCACCGCTGCAAATGAGGGATGAGCCGCCTGGAGCGGAGCAATCCGCAGTTGCTGACGCAGCTCCTCGGCCAGCCGGAGTTCCTGGTACAGATTCACCGGCGGATGGCGGAAGTTCTCCGGCGGAGTGTAGCTATTGAGAGCCTCGATGAGGTTCGGTTGATTTCCGGACATCCGACGCAGCGGCTCCACATTGTCCTCGGCCAGCTCGTCTGCCCGCTCCAGGCAGTCGATCAGATCCTCCACGGAGCTAATGCAATCCAATCTTCGCTGGGAACCGATCTCATCGGCGAACATCTGCTTCAGGTACTCCACGTCGCCCGAACAGCCCTCGATGGCCATCTGCTTGAGGATGTCGTAGCTCCAGTGCGTGCCTCCCGTCATCGTGACTAATCTACCGGGTTTTCGGGCCAAAAGCGACGGTACTTGCGGCGATCCAAAGTTGCCAAACCAAGCCCAAAATTTTAGTTGTTTGCTTCAGTAGGACCGTATGGCCAAACATTGGCTTATCAGTGTAGTTATCGATCAACGCTGCTTATCGGCTGGTGCATTTACATTGTGACGTCATTAAATAAAGAGGGGAAAAGTAATAATATAAATAAATAAATAATAAATAATAAATAAATAAATAGTAGTAATAAAATGATAAATAAATAAATATTTATTTTTGTTTACTTATGATTACAAATACAAAAAACACATCTGTCCTTTTGGAATCTATAAAAGTTCAAATAAAGAGTTCATTTGTTGAAGTTTTATTATAAATTATAATTAACTTTAAAAAATATTTGTTAAATTCTTAATAAAATGCTCATTTACATGCACCACCTTCCCCTTCCCGAAGGTAATAAAATGATAAATAAATAAATATTTATTTTTGTTTACTTATGGTTACAAATAAAAAAAACATCTGTCCTTAAAGAGTTTATTTGTTGATGTTTTATTATAATTTATATTGAATTTTAAAAAAATATTTGTTAAATTCTTAATGAAATGCTCGTTTACATTCACCACCTTCCACTTCTCGTCACCCTGCACCCGGTTAGTGTGCCCGCACTTCGATAACCGATAGACCTGGGATGCCATCTCTCGTTCAATATATATTTATGTTTTTGTTGAAAAGCAACTTATACTAAATGTAAACGTGTGGACGAATGGAAATATCCATAAACGTGTTTGTTTTCCTGCTCTACACCCTGGTCGTGATCTACCTTCAGCACTTTGTCAACAAGTACACGGAGTTCGTGCGCAGCCTCTAGATGCTGGGTCTTCAGTCGTACGCCAGTTCCTCCTCGGATGGAGAATCGGAGCATGAGGATGACGCCGCCGGAGGAGCCTCTATTCCCATTCCCACCCACCTCCTACCCGTGGACAAGACGCACTCGCTCTCCACGGCCATCGCTGTGTGCGCCGCCCCTGTAGTGGTTCCCCTTGGAGCGGCGGCCGTGCCCCGAACTCTGGATCCCACGCTCAAGGAGGTCACCTACAATCCGCGCTACGAGGAGATGTACGCGCCGGTGAAGGGGCCGGAGCACCCGGATCTCACCATGCAGCAGCGGGCGCCGCGGAACACGCTGGCCGGCTACGTGGAGAAGGCCCACATCAACGCGTTTGAGTTTGAAAACCAGCGACGCACCTTCCACACCTACGGCTATGCGCTGGATCCCAGCGTGGACGAGCAGGCCGACGGCCAGTCGTATGTGGGTGACCTGCAGTCGGCCTACGATGATAATGGAAAGACGGTCTTCGAGGCGCCCAAGGCCAAGAAGCTGCGCAAGCAGGAGAAGAACGATCGGCCCGAGGACGTCGAGGGCTTCCTGGGGCCCTGGGGCAAGTTCGAGAACGAGGTGTCGGTGGCCAAGCCGAATGAGCAGGAGCGCGCCGAGCTGGACGAGCTGCTGTCCAAGCGGCACAAACGGGGGCGCATTCCCGAGGACAAGCCGCTCGAAGAGAAGTCCACGCTGCACAGTGAGTAGGATAACCATCGAATATATGCCTTATATTACCTTTATTCCTTATCCCCCACAGTCAAGGATGCCTACGACTACCAGGGCCGCTCGTATCTGCACGCTCCGCATGATCTGGGCGTGAATCTGCGCTCCAATGCACCGCCGCCCAAGTGCTTCCTGCCCAAGGCGCACATACACACCTGGTCGGGCCACAACAAGGGCATCTCCTCGATTCGCTGGTTCCCCAAGACCGCCCATCTGCTGCTCTCCGGCTCGATGGACTGCCGCGTGAAGCTGTGGGAGGTCTACGGCGAGCGACGATGCATTCGCACCTTCTCCGGCCATCGGCAGGCCATCAAGGACATTGCGTGGAACAACAGGGGCACCAACTTCTTGTCCGCCTCCTACGATCGCTACATTAAGCTGTGGGATGCCGAAACGGGCGATGTGGTCTCCCGATTCACCACACGCAAAATGCCATTCTGCGTCAAGTTCCATCCGGATAACAGCAAGCAGCATTTGTTTGTGGCCGGCACCTCCGACAAGAAGATCATTTGCGTAAGTAACCTATTAGAATATGAATGAATTAATTTTGAGTTTAATAGAATTGAAGAAGAGAGGGCCATACTTTTGTGATTAAATCTGCCTAAATTTTATTTACTAAGCAGTTAACATTGATTTGTTAAACATTTTCCACTTTTGTTCTCAAAAGAAAGCACAAAAAAAAACTGGCAAATTCAAAAAATTCATAAAAATTATTCATTCATTCATTCAATTCGAAATGAATAAGAAAAACATTCAATTTACTTCACATAGAATTGAATTAAACAAATCAGAAATTTCAAAAATTAAATGATTCTCGCAGGGCTCTAATACGAATTTATGGCATTTTGAATACTAATTGTAATTTCTATCAAATCCACAGTGGGACACTCGCAGTGGAGACATTGTGCAGGAATACGACCGGCACTTGGGCTCGGTTAGCACCATCACCTTCGTGGACGACAACCGTCGCTTTGTGACCACCTCGGACGACAAATCGATGCGCATTTGGGAGTGGGACATACCCGTGGACATGAAGTACATTGCCGATCCGACTATGCATTCCATGCCGGCCGTCACATTGGCGCCGAATGGCAAGTGGATGGCCTGTCAGTCGCTGGACAACAAGATCGTCATCTTCTCGGCCCTCAACCGCTTCAAGATGAACCGCAAGAAGACCTTCACGGGGCACATGGTCTCCGGCTACGCCTGCCAACTGGACTTTTCGCCGGATATGAGCTACCTGGTGTCGGGCGACGGCGACGGCAAGTGCTACATTTGGGACTGGAAGACGACGAAGATGTACAAGAAGTGGCAGGCGCACGACGGCGTCTGCATCAGCGCCCTCTGGCATCCGCACGAGGCCAGCAAGGTGGCCACCGCCGGCTGGGATGGACAGATCAAATACTGGGACTAAATGCCCGCTCAATGTAACCTAGTTAGATGTAAGCCAAAAGCCGATGTGTAAATTGATTGATTATATTGCATACCAATTATGTTCAAACGAAGAAGTTGTTCCACCTTTGGGTTAGATATTTATATTTTTTTATCTATTACTAGTTCCCTAAGTTATTTATTCCTTGACGAGCCCCTTTTATTGCGACATGTAGCCTCTATTTACCTGCTGTTGTGATAAGAGTGCGCCTGCGCAGTGCATGTGAAAATGCAAACAACTCGACGGATGGTCCGCCCACCACCCAATCACCCAGCCACCCCCACAGTCAAGCCAAAACATATGCGAGTGCTGGCCAAAATCGATATTTTCCACGAAAGACGCACAAACGTCGAGCGGATAGTAAAAAGGCCCTTTAAAAATTGGGAAAAGGTTGTAATACAAAGATTTCCACCGCGGAGAGGAGATGCAGTGAAGGCCGAGCGAAAGGCGGACCCCAAACATCAGCCAGTGAATCCCCAGAATCCTGCCAGCGGCCATGGCCAAGCCCCATTCGGATGCGGATGCCTCTGGCCTGGGCTACGCCTACCAGCTGCCGTCCGGCGGCCTCCTGCTGCGCCTCAAGTCGTCCCTCTCGCAGTTCAGCGATCTGTTCAGCGACTTCAGCAGATACATCTCGCCCGCCTATCACCACGACCGCTGCGAGCGGTCCGTCCACATGCGTCTCTACTCGATGCACAAGCGCGAGTTCGTCATGGTAAGGCAACCAGTAATATCAAAAATGCTTAAATTGGCCAACAAGTAAAATTTTTTAAATCTACCCAAAAGTGATGGTGATCGCTAGACATCGGATTTTAGGTGAAATATTTTTTTAAATATTATTTAAAGCCACATTTTATGGGTTAAAAATTGTTTACAAAAACCTCAATTAAATATTGCCTAAATCTAATTATAACTTAATAAATAAAATTTGTAACCAATCAAATGTGGCTTTAAATCGTATTTAAAAAAAAAACGATCGCCTATGTTACAAGCTTTCTAAAACAGTCATCCTTCCAGTTGGGGCACTTCAAAAAAATAATTAGGAGGAAAAAATCCATATAGCTTGAATATTAATTTGTCTCCATTTATTTGACAGTAGTATTTTTTATAAATGTATATAATAATAGTACTGCATTTTAGGAGTACTTTTGAATTAAAAATTGTGTAGCTTGCTTTTAGTCATTACTATAAATATAAAGTTCAACATTAAAATTAAAATTTTTTTGTAATATTTGTTCCTTATAATATTTTTATTATTATTTACTTTTTTCTATTATTTATTGCCTTTTCAAAATACTCAAAATCAGGTCTTCCTGGGCTTCTTCACCTGCTTCGGCCTGGGCATCGTCATCGGGCTGACGGGACCGCCCATCACCAGCACCTCCTCGCTGACCGCCCAGCAGATCCTGGCGAACACCTCGCTGGCCCACAGCCCAACGGTCCTGGGGACAGGACCCTTCGCCATGAAGTCGCCGCTGACCACCACCTACTCGCAGCAATTGTGGCTCATCGCCAAGCTTGTGACGGACAACAACGATGGTGGGTATTGCAGGAATAACATATACATATAAGTGATTAATATTGATACTAATTTAAATTTAAGATTTTTTAAATATTGTAAATATCAATGATTTTATATAATTTTTATTTCAAAACCCTTTTGATAAATACTATTAATTTTAAAAATAATATTATATAGACGAGCGCTACGACAAGAGTTTCCAGGTCAGCGTCTCCATCGATGGCATCAACGAGCAGCATAAACCGCAAAGTGTCCTTGGTTCCGGAGTGGCTCACAACAGGACACGGCACTTGATCTGCGTGCGGAACGACTGCGAGGAGTTCACGGTGATGCATCTGGGATTCCTGGACTATGCCCACTATATCATCACAGTGCGCTTCTACGGACTGGAGTCCTTCCACCAGAAGTATAATATACGCAGCATTACGTTCTACGTGAGTGGCTTCAATATTTATTTATAATCCTTAGTAAGGGTTTCCAACTTTCCACTTTAGTTCAAGACTTACAGTCCGGAATTCACGCAGATTGAGATATGGTTTAGGTGTATCTTTCTACTCTTCACCTTCATTGTTATAGTAAGTAGCTTAACTATATTTAATACATATTAAACTATATATTATTTTACTTAATTCTATTATTAAGGCCTAGTACCCACTTCAATCAAAAAGCCTACGAAATGAAAATCTCCATAAAACATTTTGATCATGGAATTTTTCGCCTGTCATTTTTGTATAGAAATTTTCATTTCGTCGCCTTTTTGATTGAAGTGAGTACTAAGCTTTAAGAAAGAACAAATAATTTAAATGTATCAAGCAAAAAGTTATACTTTTTTAAATATTTCAAGCCATTTAACAAATTTATTGTTCTACTTAAACTTTACAAATTTATATTATTTTTAAATATTTTACCATTTTTAAATTTAGCCTTTTTCTAATTGTTGATAATAAATTATAGAATAAATAATTAAATTTCTAGAAAATTTACACTATTATTTAACACATTTAAATTATTTATTGTTCCATTTATAATTTATCGTTCAATTGATAATACTAAATAGTTAATACTTTGACTAAACGTAATATTTTATTATTTCCAGTGCTGGTACGCCCACACCTTGCGAAAATATCCGATCTACGACTGGTCCATTGAGCAGCGATGGCTGTCGGTGCTTCTACCCCTGCTCCTGCTGTACGATAGTAAGTCCTGGCCTGCAATTAAATCTATAGCTTGAGTTGTTCACCAGGGATTTCCCCTCCACAGATCCCTTCTTCCCGATGATATTTCTGATGAACTCCTGGCTGCCGGGCATGCTGGACGCCATTCTCCAGGCCACCTTCCTGTGTGCCCTCCTAATGTTTTGGCTCTGCATTTACCACGGGCTGAGGCAAAACGAGCGGAGCTTCGTACGCTTTTACCTGGTCAAGGTGATCGTTGTCCTGCCCATCTGGCTGTGCGCCATCGTCCTGGCCACCTGGGAGAAGTGCAACGAGCTGAGGGATCCCACTTACAGTCATTTCGTGGACACAAAGAACTACAATGTGGGTATATAAAAGTTTATAGAGCTACTCGAATTTCAAAATCTAAACCATTCGCAGGGCTTCAAGATGTTCTTCTACATTGCGTGCTGCATGTATGTGCTGTATTTGGTGCTGTTGCTTTTAAGAGCTTACACCGAGCTGCGTTCCATGCCCTATTTTGGTGAGATATACCACAATAATCCACTTAATATCAGTTATAATGCTGGATTACTTTCGGTAGATATGCGCCTGAAGTTTCTCACGCTGCTCATGCTGTTCGTCTTGTCCATATCCATCACGGTGACCACCTGTCGCTTTGGCTTCGGCATCCTCGAGGACAACTTTGTGGCCTCACTGAACACCACCTACCGCAGTTCGGCGCAGTTCATGTGCTTCTACGGGCTGCTAAACTTCTACCTGTACACCATGGCGTATGTGTATTCGCCGGATGGTCGCTTTGCCCAGGCGGAACTGGCCGTTACTAAGGATAATCCAGCCATCTCCATGATCGACGACTCCGACGAGGACGTGGTCTACGGCTCCGATGAGGAGTCGCGACGCCCCCTCACCGCTGTGGGCGGAGGTGCCGGAAAGAACGACTACGACAGCGATTGATTGGATGCCGAAGATCCGCGGGAGTCTTGATTCCAAAATGTTCCATAGCGCAAGCGAGGGTTATAGTGCTAAATAAGTGTACAAAATATTCTCTAACATTATGCATTAACTAAACGAATTTCCGAAATTAATCTCTGTTCGGGTAAAGTGGAAAATATAAAAATTAACAAATATTTTTAGTAATTTAAGTTTACGAATAAATAAACTTGTCAGTGAGTGTTGAAAATTTGTGTTCAGATCTTTGTTTCAAATTTAGTTTAAAGTGAATTAATATAGCTGACTAAAAGCGATTCCATTCAAAGCAGAACAATCTTTTTTCCAAGAGGTTGCCTTCCGATTATTTTACTAGATTGTTTATTAGATAATTAACACATTTCGCCAGATGATTTCAATTGAAAAGCAAGGCATGAAACCCTCTAGATGGCCTGGTTGATGCCCAATTTCGTCTTGGTCAGGAGACCATCGTCACCCATTTCCGCATTGTAGCCAGGACGGTACTTCATGCCGGGAGCCTGTGGGCCAAAGAAGCAAGATAAATATGTAAGAGAAATGTACGAAAAGTACGATAAGCCGCTCGCCACTCACATTGTACCAAACATCACGCCAGACTTTGCTGTCGTCGGCGCTGCGCAGCAGCTCCGGAACGTCAAAACGCGGCACATTGAAGTAGTTCATCAGGTCGGGCTTCTCGTGGCAGTACTTGATGCGGGCCTCGCACCACTCGGCCTCCAGCGGGAAGCGCCAGTCGAGCATCTTCTTGTTGTGCGAGTCCGCCTCGAACTGGTTGAAGTCGATGCGCTCGATATCCTCGACCACCACCTCGGTCTCGCCGCCGGCTGTCCAGTCGTAGATGAGCAGCTCGGCGTGGGTGGAGATGTCCTTGAGGTACTGCTGCTTGTACAGCTGCTCCACATCGTTCAGGTACGCATCGCTGAACACCTTCGACTGCACCTCGTAGTCCACGTTGCGGGCCTTGATCTGCCTCTTGACCGTCTCGACCGGCTGATCCAGATAGATGACCAAATGCGGCTTCAGCAGCTCACCGATGGTGTTCTGGCGCAGCTCGTTGTACACGGAACGGGCGCCGCGGGACAGATAGCCCTGCCGGAACATGGCCTCCATGAAGACAAAGTCCGAGTAGGGACTGCGCTCGAGAACGACGCCCTGGCCGGTGCTGAAGATGTGCTGCAGGGCATCGATGTACTGCGAGTAGCGCAGCATGTACATGCGGATCTGGAACTGGGCGGCCAGATCGTGGCTGGGATCCTGGCAGAAGTTGCGCACATCGTAGCTGCGGCAGCTGGGCGGCAGCTGGGGATCCAGCTTACGCATGTCATAGCCGTACGAATTGATGTAGATCAGGTCCAGGTCGACGGCCGGATAGTACTGCATGTCCAGCTCCTCGGCCAGCTCCTTGGCGAACTTGGACTTGCCGGCGGCAATGGGTCCCTCCACGCAGATCACCTTGGAGTTCTCGTCGAAGCGCTTGGAGGTCTTGTCGAAGAACGCATTGACCACGCTGTACTTCTTCGTCTTGTACGGATAGGGGGCCGCCTTGGGCACCCGGGGACCACCGCGCATCGTCTTGCCGGAGATGCTGCATCGCTGCTGGAAGGCGGCGGGCAGGGCGTTCGCCTGCGCCTGGAGAAGTTTGGGCGACTGGGCGCCGCGGCTGACGAGCCGCACCAGGCCAACGCGGAATACGGCGGTCATTCTGTGAAGGAAGGGTAAGCAATATCAGTAAATTAAATCCAAGATAATAATAAATAATTCTGGCTCTCTGGCAGTTTGCCGTTTGGTTACATCACAGGAGCTGCCCAGGTTGTGCGCCTATTTCTGGCCAAAAATCGGAGGTTCGTGGATGTCTTTGGACTCTCCTGCTGGCCACCAGTCAGGTGCTCCTTTGTGTTACCTAGTTTTAGGGTTTAATCGCTCGATCAGGCGGCAATAACTCACTTTTCAAGCTAAAAATCGGAAGTCTACCCAAAAACAAATTCCGGGCAGTGTTACCAGAGGGCGAAATGAGTTTTAACCCAAATACACTCGACCAAACACTAAGGCCCATTTTCTCGTCCGTTTGTTAAATTTAAAGTGGGGTTAAAACCTTGAAATCGTATGGGAAATCAGAGTTTTAACCCTACTTTAAATTTAAAAGGCGGACGAGAAAACGGCCCTAAAAACTCTGTTTTTCCCCTACATTTCAAAGGGGGTTTAATTTTAAAGTGATTTAATTAATAAATAAAAATTGTAATCAGGTGTGTTAAAAAATCACTACTTTCTTTTTTTGGAAGTGCTTTGTTATGGTTTGCTCTTATATAGTGACAATTTGCCAATTTAGTTTTATTCAATACTAAGATAATGTGGTATTTTGATTTGCAAATAACTGGATATTTGTAATATTCCAGAACAAAGAAAAGTTTTTTTATTTTCTAAATTTTTTAAATATCATTGAACGATTGCACAACACTGGCACCAAGGTTGCCACCTGCTGTCACTATTCAACACAACTCAATTTATTTGAAATATTTTTTAATCGACTCCAGTTACAGGAAACAAACAATATAAGCTCCAACTGCTGCTGACACATGTTAATATTTTTTTGTAAACTTTTCCATATTTACACCCGGTCGAAGCACTTGGTCCACTTTCCAGCGGTCTGGCAACCCTGACGACAACCTCACTGCATTTTGGGCTCCAACGTTCTAACGATGAACTAACGAAAATATCAATCAAAATTCAAAGCGACTGGCTCCAGGAACAGATAGACAAATACCCAGACTTGTGACGAAGAGGATCGGGTGAGTCCGGGCGATATAGCCATGTATTTAGCGGGTGTTCCACCCCTTTTGGTTACGCAACTGAGAACTAATAGAATTTTCCTCGTGACACAGATTTGGTTTACTGAACAATCCGCAGCAGAAATGGGCAATACAGCGATAACCCGGGTGCAAATGGAGGCCACCAAAAGTGTGCCGGCGGACCATGCCAAGTACATGAGCGCTGGCGGCTCCCCGCCACCGGAATGTCCCATGCACCAGAAGCAAGGCGATGCGAAATCCGCCTCCGCCGTGCCCCCACATCCCAAGATGCAGGCCGCATCCGAGTGCCCGGTGCAGCACGACAACAGCGACGTGAATCCGCTGAACATGATGCCGCCGGCCAACCAACAGCCTGCGGCGGACCAGCCCTTCCCACTGCCCACCGACCGCCAGACCTCGACCATTCCCAAGGTCACCGAGGATGGCACCGTCCAGTTCTGGCAGTACCCCAGCCAACAGATGTTCTGGAACGCCATGCTGCGCAAGGGCTGGCGCTGGAAGACCGAGGACGTCTCGCAGAAGGACATGGGCGACATCATACGCATCCACAACGCCAACAACGAGCAGGCCTGGCAGGAGGTGCTCAAGTGGGAGGCGCTGCACGCCAAGGAGTGCGGCAATCCGCGCCTCAAGAGCTTCGGCGGCAAGGCCAAGGACTTCAGTCCACGTGCCCGTTTCCGCAGCTGGCTGGGGTGAGTGAATCGCCTTTGTACCTCCATAAGCGAGAATTGTGTGGGGTTAAGCAGGCCATCCACAGTCGAATTTGTTTGGCGAACATGTTCGTGTGTTCAACGTTGGTGGTAGTGTTCGCGTTTATATTTCATATAAATTTGTTCGACGTTTTGTGTGACAAAGATAGAAACGTTTCTATCTTGCCTGTGTTCGCAAAAATGTTCGTCGAGCAAATTCGACTGTGGATGGCTGCATTATCCTAGATTAACCATGATATAATGGCTCATACTCTTATTTATTTCATGATAATACATATTATTTCATTTTAGATATAAAGTTAATGGCATGAATGGATTCTATGAATTATTTTGAATTTTTTGTTTTATATGAAGGAATTTTGAGTTTAATAGAATTGAATGAATGAATGGCATAAATTCCGAAATAATTCAAACGACAATTTCTTTTGAAGAAAAAAGGGCCATCATTTTGTGATTAAATCTGCCTGAATTTTATTTTCTAAGCAGTTAACATTGATTTGTTAAAAATTGTCCACTTTTTGTTCTCAAAAGAAAGCACAAAAAAAATCTGGCAAATTAATAAAATGCATAAAAATTATTCATTCAATTCGAAATGAATTAGAAAAAAACATTCAATTTATTTCGCATAGAATTGAATTAAACAAATCAGAAATATCATGGCATACTATGATAAAACAAAAATTGAATGATGCACGCAGGGCTCTAATGGCAGTTTCATAATACTCACACTACACATACTTTTCATGGCACCTTTCCTATGAAAGATTCTACCTGAAACATCCTATTTACATTCCCAACTTCATTCCAGTTACGAGCTGCCCTTCGATAGGCATGACTGGATCGTCGACCGTTGCGGCAAGGATGTGCGCTACGTCATCGATTACTACGACGGCGGACTGGTGGACAAGGACTACCGCTTCGCCCTGTTGGATGTGCGTCCCGCCATGGACTCTGTGGACAACGTTTGGGACCGCATGCGAGTGGCCTACATGCGCTGGAAGTACGAGCTGTCCGAGAAGTTTGGCGGTCGAGAGGGCGGCAAAGTGACCGCTGGTAGTGACTAGGTGGAATACATAGGTAGATGACCGGTATCTGTACAAAATCGGCTTAAGTTATCGAATGCGACTGGAGTTGTAGTTAAAATGCGTTTAAACTGTGTGGGGCAGTCCCTCCCTATTTCCTTAAATAAACTTTGAGTTCTGACTTCTGAGCACAGAAAAGCCAAAGTTGTTTCTTACAGATTACAAATGGGGACACTTCCTGAAGTTTATATTATTTATTTTGAAAATTGGTTATCTGGTAGTCACTTCATTGTATGACCCATGTTCATAAACCAATTTAAGCAATAACTATAAAATGTTAGTTCCAGTAAATTTATTTGTTTGTAAAGTTAACTTTATTATGGTTTTCACAGAATCTATATCTATATATGTCTGTTAAAATAACCGTATTTGTCGTGTTTATCGCACAGCTGAAGATATTATTTTTCTTGTTTTAAATGCCTCACGAGCATTGTCTAAGTGCTTGCATCTAGAAATGCATTCATCACATGGCGCATTTGTAAGCCAAAGGACCTCTTCAGCATACTCATAAATATACAGATATTTCTGAGACGCAGATAAAATTCTAAGCAATAGGCGAGGCTCGCTCTGAAGGTCTTCAAGTTTCGCCCCCAAATCAGCTTCGATGGAGCTTTTTAAATCATCA